TCCCCTGCGCTCCTTCTCATGACCCAGCCAAGAAGAACGGAGGCGGGAGACGGCGCAGGTGGCTGGTGCGGCCTGAGCCATCTCTGGACGTGCCCCCGTACCTGGCTCGGATGCCAAGTACTGAGACTGTTATAAAGGCCACATTAAGGAGCTATTATAGCTTGACTCTGAGGCAGCCAGTCAGCTACTCCGCGCGAACACACATTTAGCTGACCGCGCAATCCGAGTTATCCCGTCAGTCGGCAATCCTCCAAGCAACGGCTTTTAGCGCACCGTGTTAGCCGTCAGATTTTTTATGTCGAGGGAAATGTGCTAAGCCGCTGACTTCACTCTCTATTACCATTCCCTGGCCAAAGTCACTGTCCGAGCTGGTCAACATAGTAACACAAAGACTGAAGAAACTATGCCAATGCTTCGTCACCTCAGTCTGAAAAACATAAGCAAATATTCAGCAGTTTAGCTGCTGCCATACTACCTATTACGCTAACTGTTTAGGAAATTTACCCTGGGGACGACCCAATAAGTTTTTTTGACGTTGTTTTGCTCGTGTTATTATATTTACCCAGCTGTTTGCTTGAACAGGTTTTATTTTCTTCTACTTAGTTATCCTAGACAGCATTAGGGTATTTGTGCTTGTTTCTGTAGTAGACGGCACTAATTTCAACGGGAAAGATTAATCAAAACTATCCTGAGAACTTCGAAACTTGAGTAATCTATTCATTTTACGAGAATATTTGAGACTTCAGCACTTCCAGGTTTCCTAAGAAAATTATTAATTCCACCAATGGAAATTGACTTTCGAAGCTTCTAAAGGTTTCATTAAACTGAACTTCGTTCATTATTACCTGGACATTTTGATCGACGCATTGGGATCAGTCTGTGATTAGTTATAAATTACAATGGCATTACGCCCACTTCATGGGTTAAGCCCCCTACTGACGACCGACGTCATAGTTACCTCATCTGTTTGATAAAGTTCGACGCAAGGCAGTAGCTACTGTCTAGCGGTCCAATAGTTTCACCGTCTACCAATTTCGGACAAATATATCTGATTGCTAGACTAAAAGGCAAACACAATCCTGCGCACCAGATTGTTTAAATGCCTTTTTTGTTGCTGTTCAGCTAATTGTTGCGTCCACAGGCAACTAACGGCAAAGTAGATAATCTCTCCTGTCTGACAAACAGGCAGTTGAGGACTAAACTGCAGCAATACCTTAAGGCACGGGTGCGCAGCGATATGGCAAGTAACGTTGCCATAAAAAGTTTCCAACAATAGTGACGGAAGTTGCCCGCTGTCCGATAAGGCTTGCCTCGCCAGCACCACATTACAGATGAAGATCCCATCCATTGGCTGGAGGAAAGGAGACCCTATCTGTAGCATAGTCCCGACGCTGGTTCTAACTAAATCAAAATGTCGTTATCCTTAACCAGATAAAACGCGACAAGCCCTCAGAATCGACAGAGAGCATATTTTTCAACGCTTGCGTTAACATTAGCTTTAGCATCAGAGATAAACAGACAGACGGAGTGCAACAGGTTTCAAAAAAATCAGAAAAAAAAACAATAACAAGAGGAATTTGTAACTTCTAACCTCCAGTTTTTTGGCTCTGTGGCGTCTGTTTTCCGCCTCTTCACGGTTCTTTGCAATCTCCTCCAGTGTAGGAGGAAGGTCACGACGATGCCTTAACCAAGCATCCCATTCGGTAGACACCTTTGGCAGATCTAAATAAGAATTGCACGAATAAGAGCAAACAATAAAAAGAGCCGGTTGTCTAAAGAAGTAACCAAATTTCAATTTTTGGTGGAATCAGCGGTCCCATGTGAGACCTCTGTCCAACGAATCAAGATCAAGCATGGAGCAGTCGGGAATAACAGACAGAGAACCATGGAGATGCCGTTTGAGGGTTGGTATTGATAATAACTACTTACTCGCAAATTTTCAGTGGGTCGAATTTCGGCCTATACAACCACATCCTTTAAAATGTTAACCAATAGTTGTTCTAATATTCTTATTGATCAACAGGCATCCTTTGCTGACCAATAGGAGTTTATGTTGGTAAATGTTAATCTTTCCTGACACTTTTCTTATAAATCTTTAATTCAGTAAAACAGTTGCAAGCGGCTTTAAAGTATTTTATTCTGTCGACTTTCCAGGCACGAAATGCACATTAATTACTCCTTAAGCAAGTGTGACTGGGGCAAGATTGAACACACGAAGATTCTTCTTCTCTAAGAGGGT